GGCGCGGGTGGGTGCTGCGGCCGCCCCGGGAAGGCGGTGTCCGGGCTGGGGGAGTGCGTGGGTGGGTTTTGCCCGCTGGAGCAGGAGCCGCGACGTGTGTGCGTCTGGCACCGACGCCTCGGCGCGGAGAAGGACAGGCGAGTCAGAGTCAGGTTAATGTTGGAACTCGAATGCTCGAAAATGGTCTGAGAAGCAGTAAACAATCTGATCCTTTTTCTCCCCCCTCTAGAAATCCGCCGCAGTATTAATCCAAGGAGGTGCTTTGGGGACAGTTGGCCGTACAATGGCTTCTCAGTACCTCGTAGTGGCTCTGGCCGTTTTCTCCTCTTTTACCCAGGTTGTAATAGAAGCCAGCTCTTGGTGGTAAGCATCTTGTATCGACTTGATTTTTAAGAGGGGGTGTCAAGATTTGCTTGATTAAATGTCTGTTTACTTCTGATGTACTTTTTCTCTGAGGGAGCACCTCATGAACGAGACAGCGGGGGAGCATTGGTTTAGCTGTAATATGTTGCGTAGTAAAATGAACGGGTCTCTCAAATAAGTGTGTGCAATGTCTCGTGTTGTAAAATTCAGTTTTTAGAATGCTGTAAAGTAGATTCTCTATGGATTTGATCATCCTTAAATTATTAGAGTTGCCTGTCTTCTTAGAAAAGTCATTTCAACTTCCTTAGAAATTTTGCATATATGAGAGAAAATGCTTGATTTACAAGAAAAAACTTCTACTAGAGTTTTGGTTTGAACTTTTCTATAATGTAAATGTTTATAAATATATTTTGTTACCAAAAAATACATTTAAATTTCTGCTTTGGCAAATTATCTATTTCTTTATAGTGTGGAGTTTTGGAAGTTCTTGAAATAGGTGTTTCTGTGCTGTTTCAGATGATCCTTTTTAATTAATGGGCACTTTTTAGTTGAAATGTATTATGTGAAGAGCACTTTAAGAATTAAGAAAACAAAGTTGGTTTTGTTTACAGTGAATATACTTGTCTCTCTGCTTTTGTGTTTCATTCAGAAGAAGCTAGAAGTAGTCTGTAGCAAGTTTCTAAGTTCTGGCTTTTAAAGGTTTCCCTATTTGTTTATAGTAGAACAGATCGAAAAATCTAGACTTAAATGTAAAATATGTGTTAAAATAAGTTTGGGCTTGGGGGGCTTTTTTCAGTTTTGCTTTTTTTATTTTTCTGGCCTTGCAGTTGTTTGGAGCTTCTGTTATTTTCACTATATCCATTTAAGTTGGTAAGCTTGCAAGTCTTGCAAGTCTGTGTCTTACTTCAGTCTCTAATGTACGATGATAACCACATGGATGGAAACTAGTAACTTCTGTGCTGTGCTGTCTAAAACAGAATTTTCATATTTAAGTGGGTTTTTTTCTCACCTGTTAGAAAAAACAGGAGTTGTATACTCATGTATAAGATACAGTTCTGTTTGGGATTTGTAGACTTTTCTTTCCCCCCCCCCCAAGTCTTCTATTTATTAATCCAAATCTTTCTTTATGCAGGTCTTTAGGAATGAACCCTATGAACCCCATGAACCCTGTTCAGATGTCAGAAGTATATATCATAGGAGCCCAGCCACTATGTAGCCAGCTAGCAGGGCTTTCCCAAGGACAGAAGAAACTCTGCCAGTTGTATCAGGACCATATGCAGTTCATTGGAGAGGGTGCAAAGACGGGCATTAAGGAGTGCCAGTATCAATTCAGACATAGAAGATGGAATTGCAGCACTGTGGACAACAACTCTGTTTTTGGCAGAGTCATGCAGATAGGTAGGAAGCAACATCTTTATGATTAAACTCTTGTCTAAGGATATGTATGGCACATGCTGTTCTGCACTTGAAACTTTTGCCAGGTTCTTACTGAGTACTGTATGTAATCAAGTGTTTTTAAAAGTTGGCAAAGGAGACAAATTATTTTTAGCTGGAGGTGATTTCCCACCACTGTCCAGTCATGTGTCTTGGAAAAAAAAGAAGGAATATGTATTTGCATATGGGTGTAGAGGAGAAAGGAAAATGCAGCCCTGAAATCTCCTTTTGGAAAACCCGAGACAAAACGATGTCAACCTAAGAGAATTAAAAACAGCAGCATCTTGTAAAATCGAAGATGTCCATGTCTAGTTCCAAAGTTAGCGGCTACATAATAAATTGCTCTTGGTCTGGAGGTTAACTGAAAATTGCTGCTCTGTCTATTAGAATTTATAGGAAATTCTGTCTTGCTGATTTCCAGGTATGATATTTTTTTCATCTTTTGGAGAAAGATGGGTCTATGTTAAAGATAATGTAGTGGGATAATTTTTATGAAATAAGTTCTGTTAGGGCAAAATATGTGATTGTCCATGTAACTCAAATTTGATGTAATCACATAGCAGGTAAGAGAGACAGATTCCTGTTTAACATCCTATCACAATTTGGTGGGCACCCAACGCTTTCCCTATAGATCCTGTTTACAATGTGCTTCTCCAGTGCTCGTATGCTGCTGCCTTTCCTGTCCTTTAAGGACCCCATCGTATTTTAAAACCCTTGGCAAAATTTTAACCAGTGCTATTGAACTGGGTCCATGGTGAGACTTTCCCAAGTCAGATTGCAGATTCTATGCAAGCAAATGAAAACTACCTATTTTTCGGGGTGACAGTTGTGGTCTTTTATGTAGTGATCAGTGCACTGACAAACTCAGTAGTGCTTTTTAGTTGGAGATGTAAAGTAAAGCTTTTAATTTGGTGTTTTTTGCCTTGCTGTAAAAAAAGGAAAGTTTTAAGGTCAGACTTGAGCTAAGTTTATCTGTAAATGGGCTCACTCCAGTTATGGTTGAAGGGATACATCAGTTCACACTTGGTCTTAATTTTTGTTAAAAGAAGTTTTTATTTGGAGACTGTCAGACAAATAGAAGAAAATCTGCTGCGTGGAAGTACCTAATTGGAACAGCTGATTTTAGATAAACAGCCTTCCCTAGGCTTTTTGCAAGCACAGTATTAACCCCCCTTGGAGTTTGTTTTTTTTACCCTATCCAAGCAAAAGTCTAAAATCGCATGAAACATGAAAAAAATTTTTTTTCTGTACACCGTTCTGTTCTAATAATCTAACAAATGCAGAAGAAAAATCTGTTTAAAATATAGACCTTCATCCTTCAGCCCTGGCTTATTATCCAAGCAAGTCAAAATTAGCCCAAGAGAACTATTGATGTGAAGAAATGTGGAGGATTTGGTCCGTCATTTGTGGTGTCTGTCTAGGGAATAGATGTTTCTTGCCCTCCCAAGTATGACAGAACTATTTAAAGTTGGTTTCTTTCAAGTTAAATAACTTCGCCGCACCCTTCTGCTGAATATGACTGTATTAGCTGATGTCTACACAGCAATTCATCATGTAATTAAGCCACTTATTCTAATTGCAGATGGAAGCAAGGTTAATAGCCATATTCCAGAGTTAAAGAGCCTAAAGAGTGTATTCAGTGAGAACAAGAAAGGTGTTGTGGGTAACAGTTGTATTATTTCATGCTGACCTTCGGTAATGACCAGTTGCTGTTGCTCTGAGTGAAGGGAAAAATGTACTTTTAGAGCCTGGTTCAATTTTCCTTCAGCCTGCCATACCCTGGCTTGTGAGAGACTGTCAGATACTCCTTCCTCTCACAGATGTGAGAAGATGGTAGTCAAGATCCGAGTGCACATAGATTGGGCAGATTTTGTTGTCTGAGCTAATGATGTACTGTCCCTGGCTGCCCCCAGGAGAGCGCCCGGGCAAAGCACCCAGTGGCCAGTGTGGTGATTACCCCAGTGTGTAAATGGACAGTCTTCCTTCTAGGATTTATCCTGCAAAGTTAGCTAATGGGCAAATAAACTTAACGTTGGGTTTGGAAACTGCTCTGTGGCTTACTGAACTACAAAATTTTAGGGCTTTTGTTCTCTACTGCTCTCCTTCGCTGCTGGTTCCCAGCTCAGGCCATGGTCCTTGCTGCCTTCATGGCCCTGCACCATCTCCTGGCGTGGTGGCCGGCCCCAGGCTGGCTGTGCTTGGGTTTTGCAAACAGCTGAGAAGTGCTAACATAAAATAAAATAACTGGATCCTCCCCCAACAGCTTGGTGTGGTTGGGGTCCAGTTTATTCATGCCTGTTGCCCGATGTTGAATGCTTTTAAAATACAAGACAAAGAACATTTTGTATTTTACCTTCAGGTATTTAAAAAAAAAAAAATTCTGTTCTTGCAGACTTATTCATATCGAGTGTAAAGCTCAGCCCCTTGCTCTGTGGGTGGCTTCCTACAGTGTGTGTATATTGAACAGTTCCATTTCTATGTTTTATATATATGGGAGAGAGGGGACTTGAACGTGTTTGGAATGTGTGTTTCCTTGCCATGGCTACAATAGAGAGAAGTGCTGGACTGTGGGAAAAGACAGCTATGTTTGACAGCGAAGGAGAGCACAGTCGTGCCTAAAAAGTCTAATAAATAAATAAATAAATCAGAGTAACTCATCCATGTGGAACCATCATTCTTAATGTGTTCCTGGGATCGGTGACTTGAGGCGGTGTTGGCTTGTGGGGACTTGACATCTACTTCAGCAGCTGATGCTATTTTATAATTTGCTTGAATATTCAAGAAAGGAACTTAAGGGGTAACTCTTCTTTCTGTACCCCAGCTTTTCTTTCTCCTTCCTACTAAAAGTAAGTTCTTTAAAATATGCTGCAGGATAATAATGAAAACAAGTCAAAAAAGGGCAGTTTTATGAGGTTAAATCCTATAATAAACAGCCTAGTGAACCATGTGAAAGCATGAGCTAACTAAACATGGAAAAGAATAAAACGGAACGGAAGAGGCGAGTCCTGTGGTCCAAAGCAGACCACGTTTCTTTCCTCTCAATCCAGTGGAAATTTTGCTTAGGGAATTAATCCAAAAATGTGTGTTACAGAACAAATGGGAACGTTAAAATCTGGATGAGGTTCCCCCGCTATAGTTTGCAGTAAATGCAAGACGTAAGTCACCACACGAAGCCAAATCTTTTTTAACGGAAAAGGCTACTCTTGTAACCCTTTATACCCATAATTCATGTAAGTATTTCCATGAGCAGGTGTCTATGAGAGTAGACCATTGTAAGTAAGGGAGCGAAGTGCTTCTCATCTTCCTTAAATCTGGTATTTCCCAACATAAGACTTGTGATTTTTCCCTTTTGAAACCAGCATCTCTTACTAAAATTAATCCAGTGAATGACAGCTGTTGCATTAACAAAGCTGCTCTGAGCATGGTGTCATCTTGATGTTAAATACGGACCAGGCTGCAAATTATTTGTGTTCCAGAAGTGCTTGAAAGCTTCTATTAGATTTGACCTGTTATGGTAGGTCTTGCACAAAGAGTTTCTGCCTCAAAATGTTGCTGCCTTAATACATAACATGTCCAAAATTCAACCTCTTAAAGCCCTGATTTTACAAAGGCCCATGCTGTTCCCTAAGGAAAATCATATTAAAAGCTAGCTTGATCTGTTGATTGGACTAAAGATTAGCAATAAAACTGAACTCATATAAATAGAAAAAAAAAATTTGAGTCTATTCTCAGTCATTTTGGGAATCTTTCTTGGAAAAGATCCAGTGGGATGCTCTCTCTTAAGATGAAAACCAAACTTCACTTGTACTCTCAAGTTTTGTGTTGTGGGTTGTTTTTTTTTTGTTTGTTTGAAAGCTTTTCTAGTTGTAGTCAGAATTTGTGGCATCCTTGGAAAAGCAATAGGGAAAGTCAGGCTATACTTGAAGGTGGGCTTAGATACTGTCAAGAGTATGGTCCGTGGCCATATCTTGCGTTGTGGGTATTGTAACTTTTTCTCCCAAAAGTTTCAAACTCAGGGTTTTCAATTTCCATTTAAGGGCACCAGATGCAGGAGAAAACCTTTAGTGCTGCCTTGTGCCAAGGGTTTTTTCTTCCTGTAATTTGTAAAGATGATTGTCCACGGACTCACTTGCCACATTCACATGAGCTGGAATGGTGGATACTAAACAGCACAGGTCGTTCATTTTAAATAGCCTCCTACAGAAGTGCCTGGCTTATGTGTAGGTTGAAAAGTTGTGCGTTACTCTGCTGCACATTTCTTTTGATACCAGGAGGCTTTCTAAAACGCTACAACTTTAAATAAATTGGAACAAGCGGGTTAAGTGCATAAATCATGTTTGAGAAGTAGTAATTTAAGAACCAGCCTTTGAAGAGTTGTACTTAACATCTCTTTTCTTCTGAAAGACAGGGAGTCTGTTTCCCCTTCTACCCGTCACACGCAGGCACAGTTGCTTTGTCCCTGCTGGCATCATGCTCCAGCCCTACTCACCTCTTCCCCACTCCCTCCTCCAAGCTTCCACCAGCACGAGTGAGGAGTGACTCCTGCTCTTCACAAACACCTTTGTGTGCTCTAATGGATTGGCGCTGCCTGTTTTGGTTTTTTCCCCTAGACATTTTGAGGAGCATGGTTCAGGGTTACTCTACCTTTTAGGACAAGAGTAAGTTTTGGTGGCTCCTGGAGAGCCTTTGCCCTCCCAGCTCATCAGCAGGCAGGGAGCGGCATGCGTGGGCTCTCCCCTAACACCGCTTATCTTTCTGCGCAGGCAGCCGGGAGACGGCATTCACCTACGCGGTGAGCGCGGCCGGGGTGGTCAACGCCATGAGCCGTGCCTGCCGGGAGGGCGAGCTCTCCTCCTGTGGCTGCAGCCGAGCGGCGCGGCCCAAGGACTTGCCCCGGGACTGGCTTTGGGGCGGCTGCGGAGACAACATTGAGTACGGATACCGCTTCGCCAAGGAGTTCGTCGATGCGCGTGAGCGCGAGAGAGTTTACCAGAGAGGTTCCTACGAGAGCGCCCGCATCATGATGAACCTGCACAACAATGAGGCCGGGAGAAGAGTAAGTGGCTGTGAAATGGCACGTCCCTCTGCCCGCCTCCACATCCCTCCTCTTCAGGAAGGGCTGTGGGGGCACAGTATGGCACTGGGCGGTGGCCATCCACTGTGGCTTTTCTCCTTTTTTAGGGCCCAAACGA